TTTTGGTAGCTAAGGCTTCAACTGCCATCCCTAAATGCTAAATGGGAGATCACAGTCTCTGCAGAAATGGTTCTCAAATTTGTAATGGTAATTATGGTTTCCCATATATGTCATGCACTACCAGAGGCAAACTGAATTTATCAACCAGCGACAAGCTCCTTCTCAAACAACTTTGGCAGAAGCGAATTGGACATGAGGCATTAGAAGAAAACCAAGTACGGCATGAGTATACAAAAGACTGAGTCTGTGAATCATGCCTTTGGAATAACCAACCCCAAAGGATTACTTACCTTTTCAAAGAATGCTGCAGCAAGAGATCACAGTGCCATTCGTCTCGTTAACAACAGGCACACAAATTCAGTCATTAAGAAGTGCCAAGCAGCCAGTTGTCCCATAAGCAGCGGCTCACCGGCAGCTCATGCTCTTGCTAAAATAGACAAAGAACAAAAATATCAAAAAAATGTGCACTGTCGCAGAACTATAGAAAACGATGGGCACAATGTCGTGGCGAGAGATTCCATGCGTACTATACTACACAAGCCATGTATAATCCGGGGCAATTAAATCCTAGATCAAACAAGGAATTTCACTCCAAAGACAATGAATGCAAGCAAAATATCTACTATGAACACAATTACTGTAAATTGTACTTGTAGCAAGTTTCTTTGTGGTTGGTGTCATTAGGGTTACACTCTTCTAGGGTTGGCCCCTGCTAGGGTTAGCCCCTGCTAGGGTTATGCCCAGCTAGCGTTAGGGCCGGCGACCATTTAGGCCCGGTTTGAAAAGGGCCCCCTGGTAGCCCACCCTGTATAATGCCTGCCTGGTATTCAGGCTACTCCAGGCCAGTATCAGGCCTGTCTGCACATCGACATTTCAAAGTCCCTGATGAAAGGCTTCCCCCACCATGCTTCCACAGATGAATAGGGGTCTGAGCGGATTAGTGTAAACATTGTATAGCGCTGAAGGATTAAAAACCACAAGCAGGTTCCTTCTGGGATAGATTACATGTACCAGTTCTTGCAAACAGTAGACCCCAGG